TCCTGGATCATCCCAGGGCCATCCCAGGGTTATCCCGGGGCCATCTCGAATCATCCCAGGACCATCCCTGGGCCACCCCAGAGCCATCCTGGACCATTCCAGATCATCCCGGCCCATACCAGGGTCCATCCCAGCCAACCCTGGATAATCCCAAAGGCCCCCAGTCCCATCCCAGACCCATCCCAGCCCATCCTGGCCCATCCCAGGGCTATCCCAGACCCATCCCAGCCTATCCTGGGCCCATCCCAGACCATCCCGGCCCTTTCTGGGACCATCCTGGCCCAATATCATGCCCACCCTGGCCCATCCCGCTCCCATCCCAGCCCATCCCGGTCCCATCCCGGCTCTATCCCAGCCCATCCCAGCCCATCCCAGCCCATCCCGGGTCTGTCCTGGCCCATCCCAGCCCATCCCAGCCCATCCCAGCCCATCCTGGGTCTGTCCCGGTCCCACCCCGGCCCATCCAGGTCCCATCCCAGCCCACCCCAGCCCATCCCAGCCCATCCCGGGTCTGTCCCAGTCCCATCCCAGCCCATCCCGGTCCCATCCCAGCCCATCTCAGCCCATCCCGGGTCTGTCCCTCTCCCATCCCAGCCCATCCTGGCCTATCCCGGGTCTATCCCAGCCCATCCCAGCCCATCCCGGTCCCACCCCAGCCCACCCCAGCCCATCCCAGCCCATCCCGGGTCTGTCCTGGCCCATCCCGGCCCATCCTGGGTCTATCCCAGCCCACCCCAGCCCATCCCAGCCCATCCCAGCCCATCCCGGTCCCACCCCAGCCCATCCCGGCCCATGCCGGGTCTGTCCCGGTCCCACCCCAGCCCATCCCGGCCCATGCCGGGTCTGTCCCGGTCCCAGCCGGGTCTGTCCCCGCTCACCGGGGCAGGCAGCGGGCCGCCGTCAGCAGCCAGCCGGGGGCGATCAGGCTCCCGCCGCACACGTGGCCGCTGCCGGCCCGCAGCGGGTCCTGGATGCTCGCCAGCCCCGGCCAGGCCCCGGGAACCGCCCCGGAGCCGCCGCCGAACTCCTCGGCCATGGGCTGGAGACCGCAGGTACCGCTGGGGGACGGGGACAGACATGGGGACAGACATGGGGACAGGGACAGGGACGGACATGGGGACAGGGACAGGGACAGGGACAGACATGGGGACAGGGACAGAAGGACACAGTGACAGGGACAGATGTGGGGACAGGGAGAGGGCCAGAGGGACACAGGGACGGGGACAGGGACAGCCATGGGGTCAGGGATGGGGACAGGGATGGGGACAGAGGGACAGAGACAGAGGGACAGGGACAGACATGGGGACAGGGACAGGGACACAGGGACGGGGACAGAGGGACTGGAACAGGGACAGGGATGGGGACAGGGATGGGGACAGGGACAGAGAGACAGAGGACACAGGGACAGAGGATACAGGGATGGGGACAGGGCCAGGGATGGGGACAGGGATGGGGACAGAGGGACAGGGACAGAGGGACAGGGGACAGGGACCGCAACACGGAACGGGGACAGGGATGGTGGCACGGGGACAGGGACATCCCCCAGGGGCGTGGCTGTGCCCCTGGCTCTGCCTGAGCGGCTGTGCCAGCCCTGGGCTGTGACAGGGACAGGGACACGGGGACAGGGACACCCCAACAACACCGGGACAGGGACACAGCGACACTGGGACACGGGGACAGGGACACTGACACGGGGACAGGGACACAGGGACAGGGACAGGGACACCCTGATACAGCGACAGGGACAGGGACACAGGGACAGGGACACCCCGATACAGGGACAGGGACCCCCGACACAGGGACAGGGACCCCCAGTGCCACACGAGTCCCCTTGGTGGTGCCAGAGCCTGGCACGGGCACGGGGCTGGGACCCCGCCCGGGCTGCGGTGACCTCGGGGACCCTCGGAGACCCTCGGGGGACCTTGGGGACCCTGGGGACCTCAGGACACCCTCAGGGGACACTCGGGGACCCTCGGGACACCCTCAGGTGACAATGGGGACCCTCAGGGGACCTTGGGGACACTCAGGGGACCCTCGGGTGTCGCCTACTCGCAGGAGTCCCAGGTGGCGCGGGAGGGCGCGGCCGCGGCCAGCAGGAGCAGGAGCCAGAGCGGAGCCATGCTGGGGACAGGGGACAGCGGCAGCGCCCCGAGGGTCCCCGAGGGTCCCCCCCGGCGCCGAGGGTCCCGCCGGGCCCGGGGATGACGTCACAGATCGGCCCCGGTTCCGCCCGGGGCCGTCACAGAGCGGTGGAACCGGGGCAGGGACCGGGACGGCCCCGGGGGCTCCGGGCGGCCTCGGGCACTGCCGGGAACTCCCGGACCAGAATCCCCAGCAGGAAACTGCATTCCTAAAACATCCCAGAAACGCTCGTCCCAAAATCCCATCCCAAAAACCCCATCCCAAAATACCCCAATATCCCCATCCCAAAATACCCAAAAAGCACCATCCCAAAAATCCCATTCCAAAATACCCCAAAATACCCAAAAAGCACCATCCCAAAAATCCCATCCCAAAATACCCCAATATCCCCATTCCAAAATACCCGAAAAGCACCATCCCAAAATCCCCATCCCAAAATACCCCAAAATCCTCATCCCAAAATACCCCAAAATCCCCACCCCAAAAATCCCATCCCAAAATACCCCAAAATCCTCATCCCAAAATACCTCAACATCCTCATCCCAAAATACCCCAAAATCCCCATCCAAAAATACCCCAAAATTCCCATCCCAAAATTCCCATCCCAAAAATCCCATCACAGAATTGTCATCCCAGAATTCCCATCCCAGAATTGCATTCCCAAAATTGCCATCCCAGGATTGCCATCCCAAAATATGCCAAAAAACTCCCATCCTAAAATTTCCATCCCAGAATTCCCATTTTCACCCCAAAATCTTTTTCATCCCAAAAATCCCTGTTTGTAAACAGGGGAAGGTTCTCAGCAGGGAATTTTTTAAATTTAAATTTAAATTTTAATTTTAATTTTTTTTAATTTTTATTTATTTTTCTTTTTATAAAACTCAATTTTTCTCTTTGCAAATGGGGGAAGGTTGTCAGCAAGAATTATATTTATATTTATATTTATATTTATATTTATATTTATTTACAAACATCCATTTTTCTCTTTGTAAACAGGGAGGGTTCTCAGCAGAGGATTTATTTTTATTTTTATTTTTATTTTTATTTTTATTTTTATTTTTATTTTTATTTTTATTTTTATTTTTATTTTTATTTTTATTTTTATTTTTTTTTTTTTTATTTATTTTTATTTTTATAAAGCTCCATTTTTCTCTTTGCAAATGGGGGCAGGTTCTCAGCAGGGAATTTATTTTTATTTTTATTTATTTATTTTTTAATTTTTTAATTTTTAATTTTTATTTATTTATTTTTATTTTTATTTATTTTTATTTTTATTTTTATAAAGCTCCTTTTTTTTTTGCAAACATGGGAAGGTTCTCAGCAGGGAATTTATATTTATATTTATATTTATATTTATATTTATATTTATATTTATATTTATATTTATATTTATATTTATATTTATATTTACAAACATCCATTTTTCTCTTGGCAAACAGGAAGGTTCTCAGCAAGGAGTAATATTTATATTTATATATTTATATTTACATCATTTAATATTTAATATTTAATATTTATATTTACAAACATCCATTTTTCTCTTTGAAAACAGGGGAAGCTTCTCAGCAGAGAATTTATTTTTTATTTTTACAAAAATACATTTTTCTCTTGGCAAACAGGAAGGTTCTCAGCAGGGAGTAATATTTATATTTATATATTTATATATTTATATATTTATATATTTATATTTACATCATTTAATATTTAATATTTAATATTTAATATTAATATTTATATTTATATTGATTTACAAATATCCATTTTTCTCTTTGCAAACATGGGAAGGTTCTCAGCAGGGAATTTATTTTTTTTATTTTAATTTTTTAAAAATTTTTTATTTTTATTTCTTTATTTTTATTTTTATTTATTTTTATAAAGCTCCTTTTTTTTTTGCAAACATGGGAAGGTTCTCAGCAGGGAGTTATATTTATATTTATATTTATATTTACAAACATCCATTTTTCTCTTTGCAAACACGGGAAGCTTCTCAGCAGAGAATTTATTTTTTATTTTTACAAAAATACATTTTTCTCTTGGCAAACAGGAAGGTTCTCAGCAGGGAGTAATATTTATATTTATATTTACATCATTTAATATTTATATTTATATTTATATTTATATTTATATTTATATTTATATTTATATTTATATTTATATTTATATTTATTTACAAATATCCATTTTTCTCTTTGTAAACAGGGGCAGGTTCTCAGCAGGGAATTTATTTTTTATTTTAATTTTTAAAAAATTTTTTATTTTTATTTCTTTATTTTTATTTTTATTTATTTTTATAAAGCTCCTTTTTTTTACAAACATGGGAAGGTTCTCAGCAGGGAGTTATCTTTATCTTTATCTTTATCTTTATCTTTATCTTTATCTTTATCTTTATCTTTATCTTTATCTTTATCTTTATCTTTACAAACATCCATTTTTCTCTTTGCAAACAGGGGAAGCTTCTCAGCAGGGAGTCATACTTTATATATTTATATTTATACTTATATTATCTATATTTATATGTATATGTATATTTATATGTATATTTATATGTATATTTATATGTATATTTATATGTATATTTATATTTACGAATATTCATTTTTCTCTTGGCAAACAGGAAGTTTCTCAGCAGGGAGTCATATTTATATTTATATATTTATATATTTATATATTTATATATTTATATATTTATATATTTATATATAAATATATTTATATATTTATATAAATATATATTTATATATTTATATATTTATATTTACAAATATCCATTTTTCTCTTTGCAAACAGGGGAAGCTTCTCAGCAGAGAATTCATTTTTTATTTTTACAAAAATACATTTTCCTCTTGGCAAACAGGAAGTTTCTCAGCAGGGAATTTTTATTTAATTTTAAATGTTTCTTTTCCTTTTGCCCAGGCTCCATTTTGCCGTCCCGGGGCTCAGGGCCCTTTTTTCAGGCTCTCCAGGAATTGCCGCTCGCTCTCCAGGAAATCCTGGTCCTGAGGGGGGCGAGGGGCCCGGCCTGAGCCCAGCCGGGAGCTCCGGGCCCTTCCAGAAGGTTCTGAGCCCCCACCAGCCCAGCCCCGGCCATTCCCAATCCCTTCTCCCTTTGCCTTCCACTGACAAACCCCACAAAGCTCCCCTGGCCAGTCCCAAACCCTTTCCCACAGTCCCAAACCCTTCCCTCAGTCCCAAACCCTTCCCTCATTCCTAAAACATTTCCCAGACAGTCCCAAACCCTTCCCTCATTCCCAAACCCTTCCCTCAGTCCCAAAACATTTCCCAGACAGTCCCAAACCCTTCCCTCAGTCCCAAACCCTTCCCTCATTCCCAAACCCTTCCCTCATTCCCAAAACATTTCCCAGACAGTCCCAAACCCCTTCCCCCAATCCCAAAACCCTCTCCCCCAATCCCAAACCCTTTCCCCACAATCCCAAACTCTTTCCCCACAATCTTAAACCTTTTCCCTCATTCCCAAAACAGTCCCAAACCCTTTCCCCCATTCCCAAATCTGTTTCCCCCAATCCCAAACCCTCTCCCCCAATCCCAAACCCTTTCCCCCATTCCCAAACCCTTTCCCCCAATCCCCATTCCCAAACCCTTTCCCCCAACCCCAAACCCCGTCCCTCAATCCCAAACCCTTTCCCAGAAAATCCCAAACCCTTTCCCCCCATTCCCAAACCCTTTCCCACAATCCCAAACCCTTTCCCCCAATCCCAAAACCCTTCCCACAACCCTAAACCCCTTCCCAGAATCCCAAACCCTTTCCCCCAATCCCAAACCCTTTTACCCCAATCCCAAACCCTTTCCCCCATGCCATTCCCAAACCCCTTTTCCAGCCCAGTTTCCCCCTGGCCATTCCCAATCCCTTTCCCTTTCTCCCTTTCCTTTCCCAAACCCTTTCCCTTTTCCCCCGGCCCAATATCCCAAACCCTTTCCCCCAATCCCAAACCCTTTCCCCCAATCCCAAACCCTTTCTCAGTCCCAAACCCTTTCCCCCAATCCCAAACCCTTTCTCAGTCCCAAACCCTTCCCCACAATCCCAAACCCTTTCCCAAAATCCCAAACCCTTTCCCCCAATCCCAAACCCTTTCCCAGACAGTCCCAAACCCTTTCCCCCAATCCCAAACCCTTTTCCCCCAATCCCAAACCCTTTCCCACTATCCCAAACCCTTTCCCCCATTCCCAAACCCTTTCCCCCCATTCCCAAACCTTTTTCCCCATTCCCAAATCTGTTTCCCCCGAGTCCCAAACCCTTTCCCCCCAACCCCAAACCCTTTCCCCCATTCCCAAACCCTTTTCCCACAGTCTCAAACCCCTTCCCCCCAATCCCAAACCCTTTCTCAGTCCCAAACCCTTTCCCACAATCCCAAACCCTTTCCCCCCAGTCCCAAACCCTTTCCCCCAATCCCAAACCCTTTCCCCCATTCCCAGTTCCCCCATTCCCATCCCCTCTCCGGTCCCCACCATCCTGGCACGGTGTTTCAGCAGCAGGACGTGTCCGTAGAGTGCGGCCGCGCTGTCCCCAGTGTCCCCAAGGAGTGTCCCCAAGGCTGGCAGGAACCCGGGAGCCCCTGCAGGAGGGGACAGCAGAGTGTCCCCAATGTCCCCAAGGAGTGTCCCCAAGGCTGGCAGGAGCCCGGGAGCCCCTGCAGGAGGGGACAGCAGAGTGTCCCTGTCCCCAATGTCCCCAAGGAGTGTCCCCAAGGCTGGCAGGAACCCGGGAGCCCCTGCAGGAGGGGGCAGCAGAGTGTCCCCAGTGTCCCCAAGGAGTGTCCCCAGGGCTGGCAGGAGCCCAGGAGCCCCTGCAGGAGGGGACAGCGGAGCGTGGGTGTGACCCCCCAGGTGTGTGTCCCCAGCAGTGTCCCCATCCCCAGCAGTGTCCCCATCCCCAGCAGTGTCCCTGTCCCCAGCAGTGTCCCTGTCCCCAGCGTTGTCCCTGTCCCCAGCAGTGTCCCTGTCCCCAGCAGTGTCCCTGTCCCCAGCAGTGTTCCCATCCCCAGCGTTGTCCCTGTCCCCAGCAGTGTTCCCATCCCCAGCAGTGTCCCTGTCCCCAGCAGTGTCCCCATCCCCAGCAGTGTTCCCATACCCAGTGCTGTCCCCATACTCAGCACTGTCCCCATAGCAAGCAGTGTCCCCAAACCCAGCAATGTCCCTGTCCCCAGCAGTGTCCCCGTCCTTGGCAGTGTCTCCAGTGCTGTCCCCAGCGGTGTCCCTGTCCCCAGCAGTGTCCCTGTCCCCAGTGTTGTCCCTGTCCCCAGCGGTGTCCCCATACCCTGCACTGTCCCCAGCGGTGTCCCCATCCCTGGCAGTGTCCCCAGTGTTGTCCCTGTCCCCAGCAGTGTCCCTGTCCCCATACCCAGCGTTGTCCCCGTCCCTGGCAGTGTCCCCAGCATTGTCCCCATACCCAGTGGTGTCTCCAGTGTTGTCCCTGTCCCTGGCAGTGTCCCCAGCGCTGTCCCTGTCCCCAGCACTGTCCCTGTCCCCAGCATTGTCCCCATACCCAGCGCTGTCCCCAGCAGTGTCCTTGTCTGTGGCAGTGTCCCCAGCAGTGTCGCTGTCCCCATCACTGTCCCTGTCCCCAGCAGTGTCCCCATACCCAGCGGTGTCCCCAGCAGTGTCCCCGTCCCTGGCAGTGTCCCTGGCAGTGTCCCCAGTGCTGTCCCCAGCGGTGTCCCTGTGCCCAGTGCTGTCCCCATACCCAGCAGTGTCCCTGTCCCCACACCCTGCGTTGTCCCCATCCCTGGCAGTGTCCCCAGTGCTGTCCCCGTCCCGGGCAGTGTCCCCAGCAGTGTCCCTGTCCCCATACCCAGCGTTGTCCCCGTCCCTGGCAGTGTCCCTGGCAGTGTCCCTGGCAGTGTCCCCAGCGTTGTCCCTGTCCCCATACCCAGCAGTGTCCCTGGCAGTGTCCCCAGCAGTGTCCCTGTCCCCATACCCAGCAGTGTCCCTGGCAGTGTCCCTGTCCCCATACCCAGCGTTGTCCCCGTCCCTGGCAGTGTCCCTGGCAGTGTCCCCAGCGTTGTCCCTGTCCCCAGCGCTGTCCCTGTCCCCAAGGCGGGGCCCAGCTCCTCCTGCAGCTCCCGGAGCTGCTCCCGCTGCCGCTCCAGGCTCCGCCGGCCCTGCAGGAACCGGAACGGGAACGGTGGGAATGGGAAAGGTGGGAATGGGAAATGTGGGGAATGTGGGAATGTGGGAAAGGGAAAAGTGGGAAAGGTGGGAATGTGGGAAATGTGGGAATGGGAAATGTGGGGAATGTGGGAATGGGAAATGTGGGAATTAAGGAAGGGGGATTTTCTGGAGAGGGGAATTTTTGGGAGGGGAGGATTTTTCTGAGGAGATTTCCCGGGGAGGGGGGGATTTTCTGGGGAGGGGGGATTTTCTGGGGAGGGGGGATTTTCCAGGGTATTTTCCAGGGGTGTTTTCCAGGGAAGGAGGGGGGTATTTGCCTGTGTGAGGCGCTGCTCCTGCTGCCGCAGCCGCTCCTGCTGCTCCTGCAGCTCCTGCAGCCCGCTGCCGCTGCTCCTGCTGCGCCCGGCGCGACTCCCGCAGCGCCCGCTGGCCCTCCTGCTGCTGCTGCAGCGAGCGCTGCAACCCCGGGAACGGGAATGGGAACGGGAATGGGAATGGGAATGGGGATGGGGATGGGGATGGGCTGGCCCTCCTGCTGCTGCTGCAGCGAGCGCTGCAACCCCGGGAATGGGAATGGGAACGGGAATGGGAATGGGCTGGCCCTCCTGCTGCTGCTGCAGCGAGCGCTGCAACGCCGGGAACGGGAACGGGAATGGGGAATGGGGAATGGGAATGGGGAATGGGAATGGGAACGGGAATGGGAATGGGAACAGGAACAGGAATGGGGATGGGGAATGGGAATGGGGAATGGGGAATTGGGATTGGGGAATGGGGAATGGGGAATGGGGATGGGCTGCCCCTCCTGCTGCTGCTGCAGCGAGCGCTGCAACGCCGGGAATGGGGAATGGGAACGGGAATGGGAATGGGGATGGGGAATGGGGATGGGAATGGGGAATGGGAACGGGACAGGCAATGGGACCAGGACTAAGACAGGGAATAGCACCAGGACAGGGGGAACGGCACTGGGATGGGAATGGCCCCAGGCATGGCTCAGGGGGATGTGGAGCCCCAGCTCAGGGGGACGTGGAGCCCCAGCTCAGGGGGATGTGGAGCCCCAGCTCAGGGGATGTGGAGCCCCAGCTCAGGGGGACGTGGAGCCCCAGCTCAGGGGATGTGGAGCCCCAGCTCCCAGGGGATGTGGAGCCCCAGCTCAGGGGGATGTGGAGCCCCAGCTCCCAGGGGATGTGGAGCCCCCAGCTCCCAGGGGATGTGGAGCCCCCAGCTCCCAGGGGATGTGGAGCCCCAGTTCCCAGGGGATGTGGAGCCCCAGCTCAGGGGATGTGGAGCCCCAGCTCAGGGGATGTGGAGCCCCAGTTCCCAGGGGACGTGGAGCCCCAGCTCAGGGGATGTGGAGCCCCCAGCTCCCAGGGGATGTGGGAGCCCCAGCTCAGGGGGATGTGGAGCCCCAGCTCAGGGGATGTGGAGCCCCAGCTCAGGGGGATGTGGAGCCCCAGCTCCCAGGGGATGTGGAGCCCCAGCCCTGCTCCCAGCTGTCAATTCCAGCCCGGATGCTCCGTTTACCTCCGCCAGGTCACGGATCTCCTCCTCCCGCTCCTGCAGGCGCTGCTCAGCCCTCAGAACCTTCTCCTTCTGCAGCCTCAGCTCCCGCCAGGCCTCCTCCAGCTCCTCCCTGTCCCTCTCCAGCTGCTCCTCCTTGGATCTCATCTCCCTGCTCCGGAACTTCAGCTCTGCCTGATCCTGGGGTGGGGCACAGCAAACCTCACCTGTCCCGTCCCTTGGAGCAGGGGGAGAGGAGGTGCTTTGGAGCACCTTTGGGTGCGCTTCGGGGACCTTGGCCAGGCTCCTCAGCGCCGCGTCCAGGCCCAGGGCGCGCTCCTTGTGCTGCTCCTCCCGCTCCCGGCCCAGCCGCTCCCGCGAGCGCAGCTCGGCCCAGGCGGCCGCCAGGCGCCGCCGCTCCTCGGAGCGCTCCCGCAGCTCCGCCCGCTGCTCCTCCAGCCACGCGCCCTGCGGGGACCGGGCACGGCCTCCAGGCTCGGGGCTCTGCCCTCCTACAGCCCGGCCCTGCCGCTCCCGGCGGCGAATCACAGAGGCCGCTCCAGCCCCGGAGCTCCGGCCCGGGGTGGGCATCCAGAGGGCTCGACCTGGCTGGTTCTGAGCCCCGAGCCCTGCTCCCACCCTGGCTGGTCCTGAGCCCCTTCCAGTCCCGAGCCCTGCTCCCACCCTGGCTGGTCCTGAGCCCTTTTCCCAGTCCTGGTTGGTTCCGAGCCCCTTTCCCAGTCCCACTCCCATCCTGGCTGGTTCTGAGATTTTTTCCCAGTCCCACTCCTGCTCAGATGGTTCTAAGTCCCTTCCAGTTCCCCTCCTGCTGGTCCTGAACCCTTTTCCCTGTCCTGACTGGTCCTGAGCCCTTTTCCCAGCCCAGTTCCCATCCTTGTTGGTTCTGAGCGCCTTCCAGTTCCCATCCTGGTTGGTTCTGAGCCCTTTTCCCAGCCCTGCTCCCACCCTGCTGCTTCTGTGCCCCTTTTCCAGCCCAGTTCCCATCCTGGCTGGTCCTGAGCCCTTTATCCAACCCTGCTCCCATCCTGGCTGGTTCTGAGACTTTTTCCCAGTCCCACACCTGCCCAGATGGTTCCAAGCCCCTTCCAGTTCCCATCCTGCTGGTCCTGACCCCTTTTCCCAGTCCTGATTCCCATCCTGGCTGGTTCTGAGCCCCTTTCCCTGTCCTGACTGGTCCTGAGCCCTTTTTCCAGCCCAGTTCCCATCCTGGTTGGTTCTGAGCCCCTTCCAGTTACCATCCAGGTGGTTCTGAGCCCTTTTCCCAGTCCCACTCCCATCCAGGTGGTTCCAAGCCCTTTCCAGTTCCCATCCTGCTGGTTCCGAGCCCCTTTCCCAGTCCCACTCCCATCCTGGCTGCCTCTGAGTTCCTTCCAGTTTCCATCCTGGCTGGTTCTGAGCCCCTTTTCCCAGTCCTGCCTGGTTCCAAGCCCCTTTCCCAGTCCTGCTCCCATCCTGGTTGATTCTGAGCCCCTTTCCCAGTCCCACTCCCATCCTCACTGGTTCTGAGACTTTTTCCCAGTCCCACTCCTGCTCAGATGGTTCCAAGCCCCTTCCAGTTCCCATCCTGCTGGTTCTGAGCCTCTCTCCCAGTCCTGCTCCCATCCTGGCTGGTTCTGAGCCCCCTCCCCACCCCAGTCCCTCCCAGAGCGGGTCCAGGCCCCCACCCCGGCATCCCCCAGTGGTTCCCTGGGGGAGCCTCAGCCCCTCCCTGCTCGGGGCTCACCTGGGGCTCACCTGGGGCCTGTCCCCTCTCACCTGGGGCTCACCTGGGGCCCTGTCCCCACTCACCTGGGCCCTGTCCCCGCTCACCTGGGGCTCACCTGGGGCCCTGTCCCCGCTCACCTGGGCCCTGTCCCCGCTCACCTGGGGCTCATCTGGGCCCTGTCCCCGCTCACCTTGGCCTCGTCCAGCGCCGCCCTCTCCATGGCCAGCAGCTGAGCCGAGAGGCGCCGCTGCTCCTCCAGCGCCTCCCGCAGAGAATCCGCCCGGCTGCGCTCGGCTGCGGCGCGACGGCGCTCCTGGGGACACACCGAGAGTGGGACACGGGGACACGGGGACATGGGGACAGGGACACAGGGACACGGGGACACGGGATGGGGAAAGAGACAGGGACACGGGGACATGGGGACAGGGACACAGGGACATGGGGACAGGGACACAGGGACACGGGGACACGGGATGGGGAAAGAGACAGGGACACGGGGACATGGGGACAGGGACACTGGGACAGGGACATGGACACGGGGACGGGGACACGAGGATGGGGACACAGGGACACGGGGACAGGGACATGGGGACAGGGACACAGGGACACGGGGACACGGGGACGGGGACACGGACAGGGACAGGGACAGGGACACGGGGACAGGGACACGGGGACACAGACACAGACAGGGACACGGGGACAGGGACACAGGGACACGGGGACAGGGACACGGACAGGGACACGAGGACACGGGGACAGGGACATGGGGACAGGGACACGGACACAAGGACAGGGACACAGACAGGGACATGGGGACAGGGACAGGGATGGGGACAGGGACACGGGGACAGGGACACAGGGACAGGGACAGGGATGCAGGGACAGGGATGGGGAAAGAGACAGGGACACGAGGACAGGGACACAGACACGAGGACAGGGACACGGGGGACGGGACACGAGGACAGGGACACAGACACGAGGACAGGGACACGGGGGACGGGACATGAGGACAGGGACATGGACACGGGGACACGGGGACGGGGACATGGGGACGGGGACACAGACAGGGACATGGGGACAGGGACATGGGGACAGGGACAGGGACACAGGGACAGGGACACGGGGACAGGGATGGGGAAAGAGACAGGGACAGGGATGGGGAATAGGGGATAGGGACAGGGACAGGGATGGGCACATGGTAGGGACAGGGATGGGCACAGGGACATGGGACAGGGTGGGGACATGGGATAAAGGAACATGAAATAGGGACAGGGAGAGGGAATAAGGACAGGGGCACAGGGACAGGGGATAGGGACAGGGACAAGGGGATAGGGACAGGGACATGGGGAGCAGCGCTCCTGGAGAGGCACCGGGAGAGCGGGACAGAGACAGGGATGGGGACAGGGGACAGGGACATGGGACACAGGCAGGGACAGGGTGGGGACATGGGACACAGGCAGGGACAGGGTGGGGACATGGGACGGGGATGGGGACATGGGATAGGGGACACAGAATAGGGACAGGGACAAGGATAGGGAATAGGGATTGGGACACAGGGACAGGGGACATGGACAGGGATAGGGACACAGGGACAGGGACACAGGGACAGGGGACATGGACAGGGGATAGAGACAGGGACATGGACAGGGACAGGGAATGGGACACAGGGACAGGGACAGGGGACAAGGACAGGGGACACAGACACAGGCAGGGACAGGGACAGGGACAAAGACATGGACATGGGGTACAGAGATGGAGCCAGGCACAGGACACGGACAGAAGCAGGGACATGGACACAGCTGCAGGAGCGGATCCCAGCAGGAATCTCCCCCAGCCAGGCACAGACACAGGACACAGGACAGGGACCTGGGACAGAGACATGGACACAGACACGGCCACGGTCACAGCCTCAGGCCAGGGCCAAAGCTCAGGGATGGGGCCTCACCTGCTCCAGGAGCTGCTCCCGCTCCCCCAGCCTGGTCTCCAAGTCAGCCACGGCCTCCTGGAGCCGGCTCTGCTCCCGCTCCGCGTCCCGCTGCTGCTGGCACAGCCGGGCCTGGAGCGCTGCCGGGGCACGAGGTGGGACCCCCTCCATCCACAGGGGGATCCCACAGGGAAAAACACCTGTGTTCCTGCTCCATCCCATCCCAGGACAGGGAAATCCCACAGGGAAAAACACCCGTGTTCCTGCTCCATCCCATCCCAGAACAGGGAGATCCCACAGGGAAAAAACCCCGTGTTCCTGCTCCATCCCATCCCATCCCATCCCAGAACAGGACAGGGAAATCCCACAGGGAAAAACACCCGTGTTCCTGCTCAATCCCATCCCAGAACAGGGAGATCCCACAGGGAAAAAACCCCCGTGTTCCTGCTCAATCCCATCCCAGGATAGGGAGATCCCACAGGGAAAAACCCCGTGTTCCTGCTCCATCCCATCCCATCCCAGAGCAGGACAGGGAAATCCCACAGGGAAAAACCCCTGTGTTCCTGCTCCATCCCATCCCAGGACAGGGGGATCCCACAGGGAAAAACCCCGTATTCCTGCTCCATCCCATCCCATCCCAGAACAGGACAGGGAAATCCCACAGGGAAAAACCCCTGTGTTCCTGCTCCATCCCATCCCAGAACAGGGAAATCCCACAGGGAAAAACCCCTGTGTTCCTGCTCCATCCCATCCCAGAACAGGGAGATCCCACAGGGAAAAAACCCCCGTGTTCCTGCTCCATCCCATCCCAGGACAGGGAGATCCCACATGGAAACCCCCTGTGCTTGTGCTCCATCCCATCCCATCCCATCCCAGAACAGGGAGATCCCACTGTGGGATCTGGATCAGGACTTTGCCAGCCTCTGGCTCGCCAGGGACAACTTGAATTCTGTCAATTCAGTGAATTCAGTGAATTCTGCGAATTCTGTGACCTCCGTGAATTCCGAGAATTCTGCAAACTCTGTGAATTCTGCAAATTCTGTGAATTCTACAAATTCTGTGAATTCTGTAAATTCTGAGAATTCTATGAATCCCATGAATCCTGTGAACTCTGTAAATTCTGTGAATTAAGTAAGTGCATTCCATTAATTCTGTGAATTCTGCGAATTCTGAGAATTCTACAAATTCTGTGAATTCCACTAATTCCATGAATTCTGTAAATTCACTGAATTTCATGAATTCTGTAAACTCTGTGAATTGCGCGAATTCTGTAAATTCCATGAATTCTGCAAATTCAGTGAATTCAGTGACTTCCGTGAATTCTGAGAATTCTGTGAATTCTGTGAATTCTGAGAATTCTGTGAATTCCATGAATTCTGCGAACTCTGTAAATTCTGTGAATTAAGTGAATTCCATTGATTCTGTGAATTCTGTAAATTCTGAGAAATCCACAAATTCTGTGACTTCCATGAATTCTGAGAATTCTACAAATTCTGTGAATTCCATGAATCCCATGCATTCTGTGAATTCTGTGAATTCCATGAATTCTGCAAAGTCAGTGAATTCTGTGACTTCCACGAATTCTGAGAACTCTGTGAATTCTGTAAATTCAGTAAATTCTCAGATTTCTACAAATTCTGTGAGTTCCATTAATTCCGTGAATTCTGTAAATTCAGTGAATTCCATGAATTCTGTGAACTCTGTGAATTGCGCAAATTCCATGAATTTTGTAAATTCAGTGACTTCCGCGAATTCCATTAATTCTGTGAATTCTGTGAACCCTGTAGATTTAGTGAATTCTGTGAACTCTGTGAACTCTGTGAATTCTGAGAATTCCGCAAACCGTGAATTCTGGGAACTCTGTGACTCTGAGAATTCTATGAAATCTGTGAATTCCACGAATTCAGTGAATTTGTGAACTCTGTGAACTCTGTAAATTCTGTGAATTTTGTGCATTCCGTTAATTCCGTGAATTCTGCAAATTCTGTGAATTCCATTAATTCCATGAATTCTGTAAACTCTGTGAATTGCGCAAATTCTGTGAATTCTGTAAATTCCATGAATTCTGCAAATTCAGTGAATTCAGTGACTTCCGTGAATTCTGAGAATTCTGCGAATTTTGCAAATTCAGCGAATTCTGTAAATTCTGAGAATTCTACAAATTCTGTGAATTCCATGAATTCTGCAAACTCTGTGAATTCTGTAAATTCTGAGAAATCTACAAATTCTGTGACTCCCATGAATTCTGCGAATTAAGTGAATTCTGTGAATTCCGTGAATTCTGTAAATTCTGAGAATTTTGCAAATTCTATGAATTCTGTAAATTCTGAGAATTCTACAAATTCTGTGAATTCCATGAATCCCATGAATTCTGTGAACTCTGTGAATTAAGTGAATTCCATGAATTCAGTGAATTCTGTAAATTCAGTGAATTCCATGAATTCTGCAAATTCAGTGAATTCAGTGGCTTCAATGAATTCTGAGAATTCTGTGAATTCCATTAATTCTGTGAATTCTGTGAACTCTGTAAATTTAGTGAATTCTGTGACTTCTGTGAATTCTGTGAACTCTGTGACTCTGAGAATTCTATGAAATCTGTGAATTCCACGAATTCAGTGAATTTGTGAACTCTGTGAATTCTGTAAATTCTGAGAATTCTACAAATTCTGTGAATTTCACAAATCCCATGAATTCTGTGAACTCTGTGAATTCTGTGAAATCTGTGAATTCCATGAATCCCATGAATTCTGTGAACTCTGTGAATTCAGTGGATTCAATGAATTCTGTGAATTCTGTGAATTCCGTGAATCCCATGAATTCTGTGAACCCTGTAAATTTAGTGAATTCTGTGAACTCTGAATTCCACGAATTCAGTGAATTCTGGGAACTCTGTGAATTCTGAGAATTCTGCAAACCGTGAATTCTGTGAACTCTGTGACTCTGAGAATTCTATGAAATCTGTGAATTCCACGAATTCAGTGAATCTGCGAATTCTGTGAATTCTGTAAATTCTGAGAATTCTACAAATTCTGTGAATTCCATGAATTCTGTGAACTCTGTGAATTCAGTGGATTCAATGAATTCTGTGAATTCCACAAATCCCGTGAATTCTGTGAACTCTGTGAATTCCATGAATCCTGTGAATCCTGTGAACTCTGTGAATTCTGTGAATTCCATGAATCCCATGAACCCTGTGAACTTTTCCCATTTCCTGGCGATCCCGGACGGAGCTGAGCCCCTGCTCCAGCGCCGCTTGCCCCTGGCCAGGATCCCCCAGCAGGGCTGGGACAGGGATCTGCAGGCCCAGGGACCCTTCTGGGCTCCGGGATCTGTCCCGGGACCGTGTGGATCCCGTGGGATCGGCTCTGAGCCCCTGGGGATCCAGAGGATCCCACGGGAATGGTGCACTCGGAGGGGATTTACCTGTGAGCTGCTCGTCCTGCTCCTGGGGTCTGGGCTGGTCCTGGGATCTGGGGAGATCCAGGGTGATTCGGGGGTGATCCTGGGATCTGGGGAGATCCAGGGTGATTCTGGGGTGATCCAGGGGTCTGGGGAGACCCAGGGATCCAGGGTGATTCTGGGGTGACCCAGGGATCTGGGGTGACCCAGGGATCTGGGGTGATCCAAGGATCCTGGCTGATCCTAGGGTGTTCCTGGGGTCTGGGGTGATCCTGTACCCCAGGGTGATCTTGGGGTCTGGGGGGATCCAGGGATCTGGGGTGATCCAGGGTGATTTTGGGGTGATCCTGGGGTCTGAGGTGATCCTGAGATCTGGGGTGACCCAGGGATCCGGGCAGATCCTGGGGTGTTCCTGGGGTCTGGGGTGATCCTGTACCTCAGGGTGATCCCAGGGGATCTGGGGGGATCCAGGGATCTGGGGTGACCCAGGGGTCTGGCTTGATCCTGGGATCTGGGGTGATCCAGGGGATCTGGGGTGATCCTGGGGTGTTCCTGAGGTGTTCCTGGGGTGACCCTGGGATCTGTGGTGATCCTGGGATCTGGGATCATCCAGGGGATCTGGGGTGTTCCTGGGGTGTTCCTGTGCCCCAGGGTGATCCTGGGGTGTTCCTGGGGTGTTCCTGTGCCCCGGGGTGATCCGGGGAAGGCGCAGGGATCCGGGAGCACAGGTGAGGCCCCGTTACCTGTGGCAGCTCTCCGGGAGCTCCTGCAGGACCCGTCCCCACCGCGCCCGCTCCAGCTCCAGCGTCCGCACCTGGCGGGAACGGGCTCCAGGTGACCCCACAGGTGACCCCACAGGTGACCCCCACAGGTGACCCCTCCCAGTGACCCCACAGGTGACCCCCACAGGTGACCCCTCCCAGTGACCCCACAGGTGACCCCACAGGTGACCCCTCCCAGTGACCCCACAGGTGACCCCCACAGGTGACCCCTCCCAGTGACCCCACAGGTGACCCCTCCCAGTGACCCCACAGGTGACCCCTCAGCCTCACCTGGTTCTCCAGCTCCTCCAGCCGGGCCTGGAGGGTCCGCAGGGCGACCCCACAGCCGGGATGGTCCTGGGAATGCTGGTGGGATTGGAGAACTTGGGAATCCTGATGAGATGGGAGAGATCCCAGATCCTCCTGGTGCTGCTGGGATGGGAGAGATCCCAAATCCTTGTGGGGCTGGGATGGGAGAGATCCCAGATCCTCCTGGTGCTGCTGGGATGGGAGAGATCCCAGATGCTTGTGGGGCTGGGATGGGAGAGATCCCAGATGCTCCTGGTGGGGCTGGGATGGGAGAGATCCCAAATCCTTGTGGGGCCAGGACGGGAGAGATCCCAAATCCTTGTGGTGGGGCTGGGATGGGAGAGCTCCAGGACCCACCTGGTGGGGCTGGGATGGGAGAGCTCCAGGACCCACCTGGCGCCTCCGGGCCGGGATGGCTGCGGGATGCTCGGGGCAGAGCCAGGACGGGAGAGCACGGGGATGCTCCGGGCGGGGCAGGGATGGATCCCACAGCAGATCCTCCTGTGGGCACACGGGGATGCCCCAGGAGAGGCCTGGGAAGGGCAGCTCCCCTCTCCTGGGAATGCTGATCCATGCCCAGATCCCAGGGGATCCCCAGGATCCTCCCCGTTCCCGCCTCAGCACTCACCTGAGCGGGCGTGGCAGGACCCGGCACCTCCTGCACGGCTGAGGTGGAAAACGGGACAAATCCATCACGGGACACACGGGAGGAATGGAACTGTCCCATCCCATGGATCCCATTATCCCATGGATCCCATTATCCCATGGATCCCATCCCGTCCCATCCCATAGATCCCATTATCCCATCGCATGGATCCCATCGCATGGATCCCATCCCGTCCCATCCCATGGATCCCATCCCATCCTATCCTATCCCATTATCCCATTATCCCATCCCATCCATCCTATCCCATTATCCCATCCCATCCCATGGATCCCATCCCACTATCCCATCCCATTCGATCTTATTGATCCCAACCCGTTAATCCCATTGATCCCATCCCGTTATCCCAGTATCACATTATCCCAGTCCATTATCCCATTATCCCATTTTTCCATCCCGTTATCCCATTATCCTGTTATCCCGTTATCCCATGATGCCATCACATTATCCCATCCCATCATCCTATTATCCCATTATCCCATTCCATGATCTGATCCTGATATCCCATGATCCCATCCCATGATCCCACTTTCCCATTATCCTGTTATCCCATTATCCCACTATCCCAATATCCCACTATCCCATCATCCCATCCCATTATCCCACTATCCCATGATCCCACTATCCCGTTATCCCATTATCCCGATATCCCACTATCCCATGATCCCATTATCCATGATCCCATTATCCCGATATCCAACTATCCCATAATCCCATTATCCTGTTATCCCATGATCCCGTTATCCCACTATCCCATGATCCCATTATCCCATTATCCTGATATCCCACTATCCCATGATCCCAATATCCCGTTATCCCATTATCCCATGATCCCGATATCCCATGATCCCATGATCCCATGATCCCGATATCCCACTATCCCATGATCCCCTGGCCCAGCTCCCCCAGTTCCAGAGGAGGGCCTGGGGTCCCCAGGTGTTCCCTGCCCAGGCCAGGTGACCTCTGAGGACACCTGGGGGGTGACAGAGCCTCACCTGCTGCCACCTGTGCCACCTGTGCCGTGTCACCTGCTGCCACCTGCCCGTGGGGCCGCGTCCCGAACCTGGGGGGCTCCAACCTGGGGGGGGAGCAAATCCCAGGGGAGAGTGAGGGGGGCAGGGCCTGGCCTCTGACACCTGTGACACCTGTGACACCTGTGACACCTGCGTCACCTGTGTCACCTCTGTCACTTGTGACACCTGTACCACCTGTGCCGTTTCACCTGTGCTGTGTCAGCTGTGCCATCTCTGTCACCTGTGTTACCTGTGACACCTGGGTCACCTATGCTGTGTAACCTCTGTCACCTGTGACACCTGGGTCACCTGTGCTGTGTAACCTCTGTCACCTGTGTCACCTGTGCCACCTGTACCACCTGTGTCACCTGTACCACCTGTGCCGTTTCACCTGTGCTGTGTCAGCTGTGCCACCTCTGTCACCTTTGTTACCTGTGCCACCTGGGTCACCTGTGCCATATCACCTGTGCCACCTGGGTCACCTGTGCCACCTGTACCACCTGTGTAACCTGTGCTGTGTCACCTGTGTCACCTGTGCTGTGTCACCTGTGCCAAGTCACCTGTTCCACCTGTACTGTGTCACCTCTGTCACCTGTGCCACCTCTGTCACCTGTGCCACCTCTGTCACTTGTGCCACCTGTACCACCTGTGCTGTGCCACCTCTGTGACCTCTGCCACCTGCACCACCTGTGTCACCTCTGCCACCTGAGTCACCTGTGCCACCTCTGTCACCTGTGCCACATGGGTCACTTGTGCCACCTGGGTTACCTCTGTCACTTGTGTCATGTCACCTATGCCACCTGTGCCATGTCACCTGTACTGTGCCACCTGTGCCACCTCTGTTACCTGTTCCATCTGTGTCACCTGTGCTGTGTCACCTGTGCCACATCATCTGTGTCACTTGTGCCAGCTGTGTCACCTGTGCCAACTGTGCTGTGTTACCTGTGTCACCTGTGTTGTCTCACCTGTGCCACCTGTGTCACATCACCTGTGCTGTGTCACCTGTGTGTCACCTGTCCCACCTCACCTGCCCAGTCAGGGATGCCACCTTTGGGACTCGGGGGGAACGGGGACACCCCAAACCTCCATCCTGGGGTCACCTCCCCCACACTGCTCATCTGAGCCCTTCCAGGTGACACCTGAACCCTCCCAGGTGACACCTGAGCCCTCCCAGGTGACATCTGAGCCCTCCCAGGTGACACCTGAACCCTCCCAGGTGACATCTGAGCCCTCCCAGGTGAGCTGAGCCAGGGGAGCCTCATCCTGGGAACAGGGAGGTGGGAGGAGCTCAGGTGGGGGAATTCCAGAGCAGGGACATCCCCAGGGACACCTGGAGGGGACACCTGGGACAGGGACGTCACCTGGCACACCTGGGACAGGGACATCACCTGAGACACCTGGAGGGGACACCTGGGACAGGGACATCACCTGGGACACCTGGAGGGGACTGTGGGACAGGGACATCACCTGGGCACACCTGAGACAGGGACATTACCTGGCACACCTGGAGGGGACCGTGGGACAGGGACATCACCTGGGACACCTGGGACATGGACATCACCGGGGACACCTGGAGGGGACATCTGGGACAGTGATGTCACCTGGGACAGTGACATCCCCTGGCACACCTGGAGGACACCTGGGACAGTGACATCCCTGGGGACACTTGGAGGAGACTCTGGGACAGGGACGTTCCCTGGCACACCTGGAGGGGACACCTGGGCTGGGAACCCCAATCCCAGACTCTCCTGGGTGCCAGGTGGGAGCTCCCGGGGGTTCCCTTTACCTGCCGGGCTCGGGGGGCTCCGGGACCCTCCGGGGGTGGGAATTCCGCAGGGGTCCGGGGGCGCCGGGGCCCGGGGGGTCCTCGGCCTTTGGTCCCGGGAAATCCTCGTCCGTCTGTCCCGATCCCGGGAAATCCCTGTCCCCCAATCCTGTGGGATCCTGGTTCTTCTGTCCCGATCCCGGGAAATCCCTGTCCCCCAATCCTGTGGGATCCTGGTTCTTCTGTCCCGATCCCAGGAAATCCCTGTCCCCCAGTCCTGTGGGATCCTGGTTCTTCTGTCCCGATCCCAGGAAATCCTCGTCCTTCGATCCCAATCCAAGGAAATCCTTGTCCCCCAATCCTGGGAAATTCTTGTCCTTTGATCCCGATCCTGAGGGACCCTTGTCCTTCTGTCCTGATCCAAGGAAGTCCTTGTCCTTCTGTCCCGATCCAAGGAAGTCCTTGTCCTTCTGTCCCAATCCTGAGGGACCCTTGTCCTTCTGTCCCAGTCTAAGAAAATCCTTGTCCTTCGATCCCAGTCCTGGGAAATCCTCGTCCTTTGATCCCAATCCTGAGGGACCCTTGTCGTTCTGTCCTAATCCCAGGAAATCCTTGTCCTTTGGTTCCAGTCCTGGGAAATCATCCTTCTGTCCCAATCCGGAGGGATCCTTGTTCTTCTGTCCCAATCCAAGGAAATCTCCATCCTTTGATCCCAATCCCAGGAAATCCTCGTCCTTTGATCCCAGTCCTGAGGGATCCTTGTCCTTCTGTCCCAGTCCAAGGAAATCCTTGTCCTTCTGTCCCAGTCCTGAGGGATCCTTGTCCTTCTGTCCCAATCCAAGGAAATCTTTGTCCTTCTGTCCCAGTCCTGAGGGATCCTTGTCCTTCTGTCCCAGTCCCGGGAAATCCTCGTCCCCCAGTCCCAGGAAATCCTCGTCCTTCAGCCCCAGCCAGGCGGCCCCGGAGGGACGTCGGGAGCTGCTCCCAATGGAGCACCTGTGGGGGCAGAGGGACACTGGGGACACTGGGGACAATGGGAACACTGGGGGACACTGGGGACAATGGGGACACTGGGGACAATGGGGGACAATGGGGACAATGGGGAACACTGGGCATTGGGGGATATTGGGGAACACTGGGGACAATGGGGACAGTGGAGGCATTGGGGACATTGGGGACAATGGGGGACAATGGGGATATGAGGGACAATGGCCACACCAGGGGCACTGGGGACACAGGACAATGGGGACAAAGCAACACTGGGGAAAATGGGGCATTGGGGACACTGGGGACACTGGGGACATTGGGGACAATAGGGACTGAGCAGGGGACATTGGGGGACAAAGGGGACAATGGGGCATTGGGGACACTGGGGACATTGGGGACAATAGGGACTGAGCAGGAGACATTAGGGACAATGGGGGACAAAGGGGACAGTGGAGACACTGGGGACAATGAGCACAACAGGGACAATGGGGACAATGGGGACATTGGGGGACAATGGGGAGAATGGGGACACTGGGGAATATTGGGGACAATGGGGACTGGGCAGGGGACAATGGGGACATTGGGGGACAAAGGGGACACTGGGGACAATGAGCACAACAGGAGCATTGGGGACAATGGGGGACACTGGGCATTGGGGGACATTGGGGAACATTGGGGACAATGGGGATAGGGGGGGCAATGGGGACAGTGGAGGCATTGGGGACACTGGGGACAATGGCCACACCAGGGTACTGGGGACACAGGACAATGGGGACAAAGGGACATTGGGGACAATGGGGCATTGGGGACATTGGGGACAATGGGGACTGGGCAGGGGGCACTGGGGACAATGGGGACACTGGGAATATTGGGGACATTGGGGACATTCGGGACATTGGGGACACTGGGGACATTGAGGACAATGGGGACACTGGGAATATTGGGGACATTGGGGGGGACATTGTGGGGGACATTGGGGACAATGGGGACATTGAGGACACTGGGGACATTGAGGACAATGGGGACACTGAGGACAATGGGGGACATTGGGGACACTGGGGACATTGAGGACAATGGGAGACACTGGGAATATTGGGGACATTGGGGACTATTCAGGACATTGGGGACACTGAGGACAATGGGGGACACTGGGGACATTGTGGGGGACACTGGGGACACAGCCGGGTGGGGACATCCCCCCTTCCCCTCCCCCCGGTACCTCCGTCCCCGTCTCCGCCCGGTCCCCGAGGCCACCGAGGGCTCATAGGATCCGAAGGGAAATCCCGGCTCCGCCCGGGCCCCGCCCGGCCCTGCGGAACAACAGGGCACGGAATTCCTACAGAATTCCCGAAATCCCCACAAAATTCCCCAAATTCCTGAAATTCCCAGTGGGATTTCACCCCCTGGAACCCCTCCTGTGGACCCCCGCCCGTGCTCACCTGGCTGCTCCTGCCCCTTGGGATCCCTCTGGAATTCCGCCTTTCCCGGCTGCTCCTGGGTCCCGGCGCGGCCCTTCCGGAGCCCCTGGCTGGGCACAGGTTGGGGTGGCACTGAGGTGGCACCAGGGGTGGCACCGGGACCCCCCTGTCACCATCCCTGTCCCCGTTGTCCCCTCACCCCCTGGGCGTTCCCGGCGCGCTCCCGGCTCCGTCACTGCCGAGTCCCAGGGAATCCATCAGGTCATCGACGTCGTCCCCAAAGGTGACATCGGCACGGGGAGGGGCTGGGG